CTGTGGAAAGCTGGGCCACTTCAGTAGACAGTCACAGATGAGAGCCACAGATAGGCAAGGGAGTAGAGAGGAAGCTCCCACTCACTTGCTTTAAGTGTGGCTCTGAAGGACACTTGGCCAAAGTGGCCCACATCAGGTCCTCGTGGCAGACAGGACTGACAGGCCCCAGCTCCCAGCTGAAAACAAAGGAGGATGCTTCAACGATTTAGATCCTCCCAGAAGAGCCGTGGATGAGCATTAACATTACTGGTAAGTATATTCATTTTCTCCTGGACACAGAGCCTACTAATTGGTCCTAAAAGCCTTCTGAGGTCCCAACTCTTCTCACTTTCTCTTAGTTGTTGGAATGGATGGAAAACCTCATAAGCAGTTCCTTACTTCACCTCTACTTTGCATGTGAACTTCCGAGTTGTAAAACAGCCCAGTGGTAGATGGAATTTGCTCCAGGACTTAAGAAGCATAAATGACACAGCTGAGCCTCTACATCTTGTGGTTCCTAACCTGTACACTATAATAGACAAAGTGCTAGTCTATAGACCCTCACCACTACCATAAAAGAGAGAGAGAAGCACAACACATTCTTTGCACTCAAGATCCCTGTGCTGAGAACCTCCTGTACCTAAGAGAAACCCAATAGAGAGAACTCTTAACATCGGTGATGGCAAAAAGTAGTTGCAGAGAAATGGTAGTAATAGATGCAGCAGGACCAGAAGACCAGCAGCAGGACAACTGACTGAGTTAGCACTTCAGAGAGCTAGGCTTGCAGCCTTGCAGATAAGCAAGCTGAGTGTTTTTGGGAGAAGATTTGCTAGCAGAGTGGGTGCCTCCAGGTACTTAATGGAGGAGCTAGGGAGCTATGAACACTTGTCTGAAAGGGGTAAAAAATGGTTCAAGAGAAAGGCCTACTTGTAGACTTGGCTGTGAAAAAGCTGTTTAGAGTGAAGAACTGTAGTCTGACTAGTTTCTAATATGGAACTGTACTTCCTACTTTCCAAATAAATCCCCTTCACTGTGTGTGTGTGTGGTCTGTGGGTTTTGCATGGCTATTGCATATTACTGAATTCAGCAGAGAAGTAGACTACCATAACCAGTATGTCTGACCTCACTGGAATCAGCTTTGGGTTATTGACCTTAAGGCTTTTTACCCCTGTTAAGTTAGAGATCCCACACTGTCTCATGTGATTTTTTTTTCTCATGCCATTTTTATAACCAGATGAAACTGTCACTAAATTCTGATCAGCAAGAACCAGACTCCACAACATAAAAAATTATCTATTTTATTATTCACAATTTGAGCCCCTGTAATCACTACATTTTGAACTTTGACAGACAATTTCCCTAGGAGAAAGAAAAAAACAACAACATAAGATGCTATAATGCTTGGTAGGCTATCTTATTTCTTGGGTCTCAGTGGCTACTGATCAAATCAAATATGACTCAAGAGATAGAATTCAAATTAGAAGTAGGCCAGTGATTTCCCTAGAATCATGAAAAAAAATTTTTTTCTTTTTTAACAAATCCATTATTTTATTTATTTGCTTTTCAATAAATTTAAATCGTTGAGGGATTTAGCATTACACAGATTCTGTGTCCAATAGCCTTAACAGGAAGGTTGCTCTGAAATTTGCTCCAAACTATGTCATTGTTTCCATGGGCACGAGTTACCTTTTCCCAGATTACTCCAATCAGGTTTGACATCAGGAGTCACTGTATTATTTTTTCCTTTGCAAATATAAGCACATCTCTTGCCTAAAAATAATTCCATTTCATCTCGGCGATAAACACCTAGGTACTCCCTCTGGTTCTGGAGACCTCACTGATAGCCAGCAAAAGTGGCTCTGCACCAAAGCCTCCCAACCACCTTTGTGGTTTGGATGTCCTGCTCCCAGGAGGCTCACCTTCATAGGCTCAAAGATGGCAGAAACCGAAAAATCTTTTGAGGAAGGGAAAAAAAGAGCACCTAAACCACAAATCCCACAGACCTGACTCAGTAGGTTTCAGACCACTGCTCTACAATTATAGTTCCTAAAATATGTACCTTGGGGTTTCACGGCAAACTCAGAGAGTGCTAGAGGATATTCGAAACATTAAAAAAAATAAAGAGAACACCAGTCGAATTCTGTGTGAAATGCTAATTCAAGATGGTTGTAAAAATGGCATTGGCAAGGTGAGAGTGGCAGAACTAACCTCTATAGAGAAGAATCCCTAACAACAGCATCAACAGCTCAATTCCTATAAGAAGGTCAGATTTCTCCCCATTCCCTCCTCAACACCTCCCCAACCTTCTTCTACCAATTCTAACACCAACTGTCCTCCCCATGACACTCATAACTTCTCTACTAGGTATGTGACCATTTACCCCAGTGGTCACACAAACCCTACAGAAAATCATCACAATTATGGGGATTAATTATTAGGGAATAGGCTGCAATTCAGTTTCAGGAGCCACTTGTGATAATATTTCCTCAATCAGAACGGCCTCTTTTCTAAAGGCAAGCCTCTTGACTCAGACCCTTTTCTGCTCAAGCAGAGCACTAGGAGAAGGACAGCTGGTGTCAGAACTGGTAAAAAGGTTATAGGGTGGAGGTACGTTTGACCTCTGCCTCACTGGATTTGGCTGTTGATCTTGATTCTCTTTATCGCTTTTTCTTTTACAAAGTTCATTTAGCTCTGCCGAAGTAGGCTTCTCTTTTGGGACCTTAACCTCCTGGCCTTGGCCTCTACTCTGCTCAGGTCAAGTGTTAAATGCTTTTTCAGCTTTGCTGCTTTTTTAAGTGTACAGGATACCTACTCTGCTAAGAAAGCTCCGGCCTGAAAGCACTCAGCTCTAGTTTTGTGATTTGGGAAACCTAGTTCTCCAACACATACTGGAAGGTGCCCACTCTGCTAAGCAAGCCTTCTGCCTATAGAGCGGGGAAAGGCTCCAAAGCTGATGCAAATAATTCCTGATATTAAATCACACCATATCCACCTGTTTTGTACAAATGCTTCTTGATCTATGTACATGTTCTGCATGAACACAAAAAAATATTGTAGACTTTTCATTCTTCTCACTGTTATTCATAATTTGTTTTGACCTACACAGTGAAATGTCTTTGTATAGTTAATAAAACATCTTTGATGTTCTCTGCTTTTAGGCAAGATCCATCTGATGTCAGCTGTGTTATTTCTCATTTCTCTTCTAAATCCAGCTAATGTACTGCAATAACCATTTTAAAATTCTCTTCTGTAAAATTTTACTTGCATAGGATACTAATGATATTGATAATGTCTATATTTTGCTGGATCATTTTTCTTTGGAATGGGCATAAATATGCTGTCTTCCAAATGTCTTGGCAAAGAAGAATGTTTCCAGCACGGCATCATTCTGTTGAAACATCTCAATTGTTAATTTGTCAATTTCTAAATTGTTTTCAACAATGCTTTTAGTGCAGGTTGGATTCCTTCCCTCCAAACTATCAGTTGTTGGTCATAGGCTACCTCCTGAAACGATTCCCGGTCAACCAATTTTTGGTACAATGACTCTGTGTATTCATTCCTTCCATCTTCTTTTGATGCAGTTTTATTATCTATTTCATTGTGACAGTGCAGACTTAGCTTTAGATAATTTCTGTCAGTGATTCAGGAGCAGTTCACTAAATGAAACATTACTGTTGGCAATCTTGCTGATGGGTGCTTTAGTGTAATCACAGCCTACAGACATCTAGGAGGAGCCCTGAGGAATGTGATGAAAAACATAAAGAAGTCTTTGTCACTACTGTCACTTCAGCAAGGCAAAAGTAAAGAGAAATCTTTTTTCTATCAATAGATAACTCTATTTGGCACCAAACAAGTGGAGCAAGCCCACACTACACTCTAGAACCTGAAGGCAGCAATATGTGTTCTACTCTGTATATATGGGTTGCTCCAACCCAAGTTGGTAAAGGTGCCTTATTTACAAAAGATTTTTCTTTGAGATTTACTTCCCCATGATCCTTTGTTTTTATTTACTCCCTCTTGATTCTCTTTTGTTTACTTTTTGATGATTCTCAATAAAAACCCAGAAAGGCATAGTAAAGGGGCTTCAGTTCTCCCAGCTGTTAGACCCCTGCCTTCACGCTTTCCGGCCTGATCTCCATTCGCGAGATTTCCTGTCTTTGTCTTTTCCCCTGACCGACAACAGACTGCCAAAAGAACAATCAAATCTATCATGGAGAAAATACAACTTTGGTGCTCCTTAGAGCCAAGATAGGTGAAACTTCATCTCACATACTTTGGGCATGTTGTCAGGATAGATCAGTCCTTACAAAAAGACAACAGGCTGGGAAAAGTGGAGGGTCTGAAAGGAGAGGATGGACTCAATGAGAAAGACAGATATAATGATCACATCAATGGCTTGAGCATGGCAAAGATTATGAGGGTGGTGCAGGATAGGACAAGATTCCAATCTATTGTTCACAGGATAGCTATGAGCTGTAGTTGACTGGGTGACAACTAACAAAATCTGAAAAGGATACACTATCTAAAACTAGCATATAGTTCCTTCTGCAGCATTGTATCACAGTACATGTTATTGTTGTTATCCACCCATTGAGTCAACTGTGACTCATAGTTGCTATATGTATAATAGTTCTGAATCCTGCCCTATCATTCTGGTCTGAAGACTAATTTGGAGAGGATGCAATTAAATGAAATTAAATTTAATTAAAATTGAGTTTTTAGAAAAATAAAGTTGGTAGCTGATCTTGGGCTGTGTCTGGTTAACAGTCAGCTTTTATGACCATTTCTATTTCTAATTTATGTAACTTCAATAAATATCAAGAAATACTAAAGTGATTTAAAAGTCTGCTAAGTAAAGTACCTGAGTATAGTAGTAACTCTTAATTGTTAAAGGAATGAATGAACAATAGCTTATGGCTTCTTAATCAAGTGGTTGAGTTACAAAGGATACAAGAGCTATAAAAATAGCAAAATTAAATAAAAAAGTGTGAATGTAGATGTGTGTAAAAATTCATACATACCTGCACTCAAGGCGACACCAGAGCCGCGATGGCAAATGGACATCACCATGGGAAGAGACCAACTGTAAAGAAAAATATGTAAATAATTAAAAAAGCAATTAAAAACTTAATACCACAGTAGAGAGTCCATCTTGGCAAAGTATGATCTACTTATAAAATAGGCATGATTTTAAAACAAAACAAAACAAAACAAAACCAGCTTTTACATCCTTGTGTTTTCCCTTTGCAGTCTGGAACTGCATTACTATAAAAATGGAGAGAAGGAACCAAATGTAAAATACGCTTTTCCTTTCATATAGCATAAGGCAGAAACAACACAGATCAAAGACACCAAGTCTAGTTAAGAACAATTAGAATAAATATACCAGACTGGATTTCCCAGGAATAACACCAAGTAGAGAAAAGCTGAGTTTATTTATCTACTGTTTAATATAATCCATATGGTCGGTCTTGAACTCTTCATCATTATTGTTCTTAGGTGCCAGGAGTTGACTATGACTCAGAAAGACTATGTGTACCCTTCCTATTCTGTGCCATCCTCATAACCTATTTGAGCCCACTGTTTCAGTCACTGTGGAAATTCAAGTTGTTGAAAGTCTTCCTCTCCTTTGTTGACTCTCCATCTTTCTAAGCCTCAAATACTAAGATAGAGTTTCACCATCCATGTCTCCAAGGAGTACCCAGGCTGTACTTTCTCCAAGATATATTTGTTTGTTCTTTTGGCAGTCTGTGGCATATTCAGTACTCTTCCCCAACACCACAATTCACGCTCAAACTGAGTACTGAATGTGTGTGTGTGTGTGTGTGTGTGTGTGTGTGTGTGTATATCAATCACTCACTTGGCTCAAAATTTAAGTTGAATTTTGTTGCATTTAATATGTTTCTAAATCCTCAGTTGTTTAAAAGTCCTTCTTTTTTTATCATTAATTTTAATGAACATTTACAGAGATTTTGGATTTCCATTTACTCATTTTTGCACTTTGCTCCCTGCCCACCCCTCTCCCCGCTTGCTCTTCTCTTTGAAAAGTAAAGAAAAATTCCTTCATTGGTATACAATCCCTCCCTCCCCCCAAAAAAACCTACCTTCTTATCACCCTTTTTTATCTTATTTTATTTTGTTACTAATCTACTTTTTTGAGTGAAGGTTTACTAATCATATTGGTTTTTCATAAAATAATTCATAGGTATTTATAGTATAGCATTAAATGCCATTGACTAATGTAATTAATTTTGTCTAACTCAGTTCTTATAATGTTCTTTCCCCTATCTCATTTCTTTATTAAGTTTTATTTATCTCTCCCTCCCATTGCTGTTTTAATCCTCCAAGACAGATTATATATCTATGTGTAAACCCTTCCTTACCTTTTAATAGTTGTTATAAACCATCTAGTCAACTAAGACCCATAACGGCTCTATATACAGCAGCTCTGAACCCTGCCCTGTCCTGAGCCAGTCTCACTGATTGCAACCTATTGCCCTAATTACTGTATCAATCCATCTCATCTAGGGTCTTCCTCTCCTGTGCTGTCCCCCTCCACCCTTCTGAGTATGATGTCCTTCTCCAAGGACCGGTCTCTCCTGTTCATGTAGTGATCTATAAATTATCCTTGTGTGACTCACTTGCACTACTCAACATAATTTGTTCCAGATTCATCCACGTTGTGTAGTATTTCATTAATTCCTGATGATTTTTTAGTGATGCATAATACTCCATTGTGTGAATGTACCAGATTTCTTTAGCATTCATCAACCGATAAACACTTGGGTTGTTCTAGTTCTTTGCTACTGTAAATAATGCCATAATAAACATGTATGTGTATATATTATTTTGTATGTCATAGTAATGTCACCTTTGACAAGAGACTCGGGCTATATATATATTACTTCCAGGGACTATAGCGGTGTCTCCTGCAGGGCGTTATGCTACTAAGGTAAAGGCTGTACCTGACAGGCAGTTTGAACTCACCATCAGCACCACATGAGAAAGATAAGCAATCTCCCTCCCATTTGATTTATAAAAGCCTCAGAAAACCTACAGGAAGGTCAGCTAAGAGTCAGTTCCATCTCAACTCTAATAAGTTTCAGGGTTTGCTTGGGTTTATTTTGCTGGTTGTTGTTAAGGGAAGAAATTCAACAAAGTTTAAACTATTCCAAAAGAAAATTCTAACTACAAAAGGGAAATGGTTATAGAAAGTAAGAAAGGGGAAACATCTGAAGAAATAAAATGCCTAGAGATCACTGTAGTAAATTCAGATTTAAATCCATAAATATAAAAGGTGAAAGAAGGGCCACATAACCAAGGACAAGCAGAGAACAATGGTATAAGTTGGTGAAAGAAATCAAGAGACTAAAAGTCTGGATAAACGGAGATCTGCAAATATGTTAAGGAAAATAAAAAGAAGCTTTTAAAATCATATTCACATGTCTTAAGAGAAGGTCTCTTGATAGGAATAGACAATTTATGTTAAAAGATTATAGTGTGAAACCAACGGACTATTTAATTTGTCAAAGAGGCTAATTATCAGACTGAAAAAGAATAAATATTGATTTGAAAGAATTGAAACATAATAGAGGTAGGGAAATGATAATTTCCAAAAATTATTTATGGCTTCTGGCCCAGATGAGTTAAATATTGTGACTGAACTTACACATGAGTTATATGTTCTGCTCTTGTAATCTTTTAAGAATAAAGAAAAATGAGACTGGTGTGAGGAATTAAAGTCACAGTTTATCTAAATTTTAAAAAATGTAGAAAACATGGAAAAAGTTAAACAAAACAGAACAAAACACAACAACACACACACACACGTAGGATTAGTACAGGTGTTGTTATATGCCGTCGAGTCACTTGGGATTCATGGCCATCCTATTTATAACAGCCCTGAACTCTGCTTTATCTTGTGCCAACCTTATTGTCTCTGACACACCTACCCTCTACCCTGTTTGTTCTCCTGGCAGTCCATGGTATACTGAATACTCTTCTCCAGCACCACAGCTCAAAGACATCAATTGTCCTTCTATCATTCCCAGTCATTGTACAGCTTTCTGATGCATAGCAAGTAATTGTGAAAATTGGTAGAATATGTAAAAGATTTTATTTTCTAAAAATGATGATGACAAATTTCCAGTCCCAAGATCTTCCACACTCTTGCCACTCCTCATCTGGTGAGTTTTCATTCTTTCCCTTAAGCATGAGTGGGACTTCCAAGATTTCCAATATAGTTTTGTCCTTCTGTATATATATATGCACTCATACACATTAACTCAGGTTCATCAAACATTTTCCCAGCTTTTCTTTCTTAATGGTGGTAAGGGCTGTCCACTTTTCATCTCTGACATAGCTCATGTTAAGCCAAGAAGAATGATAAAACTGACAAAATCCTGCATCTTATCTTCATGGCCTCACCTAAGGTATATGTACTTTATTGGCACTGCTTGCAAGCTATCCATTCCTACTGGTCCATGTTGTTGTTGCTACGTGTTGTCGAGTCACTTATGACTCATAGCAACCTTATGTACAAGAGCTATGAACCCTGCTCTATCTTGAGCTAATTTCATTTTCTCTGACATTTACCCCCAGCCACTGAGTCAATCCATGTCCTTCATAAGAAAGAACCTTATATGCACAGTCTCATCCAATCATTTGGCAGGAGTTACAAGGCCATATAAAAGTGACCCATTGTATCACTAAAAGATCAAATCATCTAATACAAGAAACAGATCAAAATATGAAGCTGCTTTGGTTTCTCAGAACTGGGGTCCTAAAGTCCAATCAGCATGTTGCCCAAACATACACAATCCTCTATGACATAAAGTAGAATATACACAGCTCCAAGAACTCTTGAAAATAAATTGGGCTAATGAGGAAATGAAAATAACCTCTCAAAACTCAAACTCATGGCCACTGATTTGGTTCCAACTGATAGCAACTGTCCACCAGGTTTCTGAGGCTGTAAATGGGGCTGGGAGGAGACTGCTTACCTTTCTCCCAAGGAACTGCTGGCAGATTCAAATTGTCCAAGATGTGCTGCCTTTGAATTAGCACTGTAACTTGCTACACTCTACTAGGTGTTGTTAGGTGCTGTCAAGGTGATTACGGCTCATAGTGACCTTATGAACAACAGATCAAAGCCCTGTCTTATCAGGACCATCCTCACAATCTTCACATGCTCAATACCTTCGTTGCTGTCATTGTGCCAATCCAGCTCATTGAGGGTCTTTCTCTCTCTCTTGCCGATCTTAACTTTCCAAGCACGATGTTTTTTTTTCCCCAAGAACTGGTGCCTCCTGACAACATGCCTAACACATATGAGATGAAGTTTCACCATCTTAGTTTCCAAAGAGCACCTGGATTATACTTCCTCCAAAACAGATTTGTTTTTTGGCAGTCCATGGAATATTCAATACTCTGCTAACATACAATTCAAAGGCATCAGTTCTTCTTTGCTATTCTTTATTCACTGCCCACCTTTTACATGCATATGCCAACAGAGCTCCTCTTAAATGGAAAATGACCTTTCATAATGTGCTAACTCCATCCTGTTTTGTCCAAGAGCCTTTCAAAAGAGTCTAAAAGATATTAGAGAATACAACTCCAGCTATCTCAAGACATATTTCCCTGATATGTCACCCTAGGAACAGTTTTTATTTTCTGTTTTCCATGAGTATATCAAGGTTCCCTTAATGAAGAGCAGAACAGAGGACAGTAAAGGATTCATTTCATTATACTGCTATTCTTTATATGACCTTTGAAATTCAGAATCATTTGGGAGGTTCTTCTTCTTTATAATCCACTTAACACCTTTTACCTGTTAGAAAAATGTTTCACTGTAAAGTAACAAGATTTTTTTTGGCTTTTTAAAAAAAAGTAATTTTCATTTTATTTGATGACGTATTTATTCTTGAGCCATAAGATATGGGAAGCCAAACTTTATACCAAACATTATATGAAAACCCTTGTTCAGGAATTGAAGGAATTACAAATTTATAAGTTAGGATTTCTCTTGTGGCAGATCACAGAAAATGAGCTGTTTGTTCCCTGCAGACAGGAGTCAGCTAGGGA